TCGACTTCACCGGCACAATTAGACAGCGCATGTTGATAATCATCGAATAGAGATAGAAACTACCAGACACTGCTCTATAGATATACCAATAATCTATATAATACTAGAACGTTAGGTGCTAGAAATATGACGATATAGATAGATGCACGCATACACATCACTAGAACCACGACAGCGAGAGAGTCACGAATTAGAGCCAGCAACTCTAATACCTTTAGAGTTGTAGCCGATCTAGCAGATTCCTAGTACGTTCTAGAAGAGAGCGTGTTAGGGGTCTGGTAGAGGACGTTATATAAATCACCTTAGTGCGAGACACCTCGTAGAGAACCTCATTGGAAGTGGACAACGCACCAGATATATCTGTCACGAGAGTAACAGGGCTTAGACATAAAGATTCCGAGTTGACAGTATAGCATTCAATAGAAGCCAATCCACGATAAGTCGATGTATCATTTGAGATAACCAACCAACCCTTGTGAGGTGTGATAGATGATGGAATAGGTTTACCAAACACTAGAACATTATCCACACGTCTAGTTGAAGCTGCTGTCTCCTGTCTAGCCGGGGTAATGGTCTCAACGGTTGAAGACGGATGTGTTGATGATACCGGTAGTCTTGATGGAGGCGAACGTAGATTGGTACCAACTTCATAGCCTTCAGTGGCATCAAGTAGATCATCATGGGGGGGAGATAGAGGTACTCCGTCAATTGATGAGGAGGGACTTGATGTGACCTGATTAGATGGATCTAGAGGGACATCTTCACAACCAGGCAAAATGGTAGAGTCTTCTTGTCGATGTTGATGGTTACTAGAAGATCGTTGTCCGACTCGTCTCAGAATGATCTTAGACTGATCCGAACCATCACCGCTAGCGGGGAAAGTATCGAAGTTACCTTCCATGTCTTGATAAACTCTTAGGCCTTTTTCATAGTGATCATAGATTAGAGATTGTAGAGCACGTGCGGGTACCAGGTTCTTGACGGAGGCGTAGATGAGAGAAGAGACCCCAGGGCCACCTTCTAGAGTAGTCTTATCATCAGAGACCTTTAGATTACCGCCATAGTCAGATGGTAGTACAATACCGTCAAAGAGATAAACCATAGATGTACCGCATAGCTTAGCAATCGTTAGAGGCCCTCGCCATTTGAGGGATAGATGACCACCAAGAGAATGATCGGCACACTCGCTGATATAGACAAGATCGTAGAGTGCCAGTTGATAATCTTGAGGAGTATCTTTAATAGAACGCTCGCGAAGAGCGGCTTGTTTTAGCTTCCAAGCATCGACGTACTCTTGAACTGTGACCTTCATCTTTTCTTGTTGGTCTGATAGAACCGGCAACAAGGATCGAACATAGGGCAGGTAGTCAACGCTCAGATATTTGACCTCGAGCTTGTCCCAATCGATAGAGGGGAAGTCAGACGGAGGGTCACCGGGTAGACGTTGCCCGTAACCATAATGTAGGGCGCATGGACTCAGCGTAGACCAGTGCCTAGG